CTACTCTTGCTAAGAATCCAGGTTCAGTTCCTAGCACTCACAAATTCGCTCAAACCCATCTCCAGTTCTAGGAGATTGAAAGCCCTCTTCTGGCCACCTATGGCACTACACCAAGTGGTGTACATACATGCAAGTAAAGCACTCCTATACACAGATGAACTAAAACTAAACAAATCTTGAAATAAATAAAGAAAACAGTAATATCTGTTCTCTGTGGTGTGTACCGTGATTGACTCAGTTACCATTAATTCGCAGTGAATCTCCTTAAGTGCTCACCCCATCTAATTTAAACTCGTATCTTTTGATGATATTCCCCCAACTCTATCTCCTGGTAACAGTCATTCTACTCAGCTTCTACGAGGTCAGTTACGATGCACTCCAATATAAGTGAGATGCTATGGCACTTGTCTTTCTGTGCTTGATTTATTTCACTTAACATATTATCCTTCAGATTCCTCCACATTGCAGAAAAAAAGTTTAATTAATGCAAAAAAATAGGGTCTGCTGCGTGTACAGACCCTATTTTCCTTATTCATTATCAGCTGCCAAACTTAGGCTGATTCCATACCTTGACAATTATGAATAATTATACAGTAAAGGATTACACAAAAATGATTTTACATGTGTATCCTGTAGTGAGAATGCCAGATGCCAATGCAGTTTTATTTTCATTTTTTGAGAAACCCCCATGCTGTTTCCCATAACATCTGCACCGCTTAACATCACCACTAGCAGTGTACAAAATGTCCTTTTCTCCACATTCATTTTTTTTAACCTTTCTAGAGCTTTATTGGGAGAGGGGGAGAGAGGGGGGATAACTGACAGAGAGAGAGCAGAAAGAGAAAAGGGGGTTTCTCCACAATCTTGTCAGCACTTTTTTTCTCCTTTCATGTTTTTATAGCAGCCATTTATGTTCCATGGTGGAGAGTGGGTGAATGCATCTTCTCTTTCCCTTCAATATTTGTTTTGAATACCTGTGATGTGAGGACTACTAATGACATTTAATAGTGTATTAAACTTATCTTTCTTAGGCAATTTATTTTTTTTTTTCATGCACACAATTAGCTATGAGGGAGGAATAGTACCATCCTATTTTGGTACGGTAGAGGTTATCTCAAAGTTTAAAAAGAAAAGTCTCATTTTGTCACTTGCCTCTTGACTCTGTGAGCAACCCCTTGACCATGCCAAGGCAGTGCTTCTCTGATTATATTTAAAGAGGAATGGGTTCTTTAGAGAAAGGGTGATAACCAAGGTGAAGCTACACAGCTGCTTCTTTGGTTGAAAGACTTGGAAGAAGCAGGTCCTGCTACCTGTTGTTCTTTCTAAAGAACTCCTTTGTTATGGTTTGATGATTGCCAGTTTATGTTAGCCACTGGTAAAATTTTAGAGGCATTACTATGGGAGAAGATCCTGTTTGGATGGCCAATGTATATTCGAATGTGATAGAACAACTTTTAAATACCAAATCTTATTCCTCCTCTCTTTTGTGATTTGTGTGCGTTCAAATTTCTTTCCTATTCTTAATTCTGAAACCTATTTTTGCTAACGTCCACTTCCTTTTACTTTTATCCACAGGGAAGTCATAATCCTCTCTTTAAATAGCAGCTGGTTACCATGGAAATCATTCTAATGCCCTCGAATCAATATTGTGATTTTGCTGACATTTCAGGTAAAAAAAGAAAAGACAGGCTAAGATGTATTTTAAAAAAACACATTTTCTTCTGTTATATTGTTGACAGAAAGGAGCTGGTAAAGAGAACATGAGCTCTGTAATAAACTCCAGTGAGTTCCTGATTATGAAGAACTGAGGATTTATAAAAGATTAATCTACATATTTAAATAGTTTGGGATTTGAGTATGGACATATGTGCCCATGCTCTTGGGCTCAAGAGTTTTCTTCCCATCTCTGATGTGGGCCCTGATTCAACCTTGTCCCTGTTATTCTAATAACTTATTAGAATACAGTTGGGTGCATATAGCTTTGCAATTGTCCCTTTCTCATGAGCTCCAAAGAGAAAGGTTAATTTACGTAGCAAGTGCTACTCTGCCATTTACTGCATCCGAACCATCATCCAGTTTACATAAGACCCTTATATACTCACACAGCTGAGGGCTTTCCAGTCCCTCTTGAGAGCTCCCTTCTGAAGAGAAATGTTGGATTTGGGTCTGGTGGTCCATAAGCCATGGAGCCCAGCAAGTAATTTTTACAACTGACTCTTTAACTTAAGTCCTTGCCACAGAAACTGAGCCACTTCCACAGGTCTGCCTTCAAAAAACAAAAGCACTTATTAAAGGGCTACTCTCTGTTTGATGACTATCCCTGAAGAACCCTTGATGCTTAGTCAGTGAAGGTCCCTGGAAGAGAACAATGGCTTTCAGCAACTGGCCACTCAATACATTACAAGTGGATGAAGATGTGTTCCATTTTAAGGTAATTGACAGTCATCCAGGCATTGCTTCTAAGAGCAGGTGATCATGACTGTGCACCTGGTTTCACTCTCCATATTCCACTTTCCCTCCTCTTGTCAGGAAACTGAAGTGTGTATCCTTCACTCCTTCTAAGATTTGGCTGTGTGGCATGGCCTTCTGGCACAGCTCTTACTATTTCTGCAGCCTGACTTATCTTGGAACTTTCTTAATAGACCAGGCTTGTCTTGAACTTGGAACCTCCCTGTCTCAGTCTCCAAAATGCTATGAGGGCAGCATGCCCCACTGTGTCCACCTCTCCTTTTGTTTTTGAATCACTCTGGATTACATTCAGGATGCATCACTCAGAGATTCCTGTCTTGAATCTATAATTTTCTTTGGCAAACAACCTGTTATAATCAATTTTGTAGTTCTGAAACAGAAACAGAGGATAGTTGATTTTTGTAGTAGAAACAGAGGATTGTGGATTTTTGAACATAGGATCACACAGAATAAAGAGAAGGCAAGACATCATGCTTAAGTATTTGATAAAATTTAAGAATAGTGTTCAAAAATCTCAAAATTCCTATCCCCAGTTCTTATTAATAAAGAAATTAACATCTGTTGTTTCTAAAAGCATAAATGTGTTGTGCTATAAGGTGCAGGACACAATTATAGCTCAGAATCATGAGAAAAGGGGTCAAAATTTATGAAAAAAAGGGTCCAAATTCTAGGGGAATTCAGACGGTAAGGAGAAATAGAGTCTTCTCAGAATGTAAAGAGACACTCTTATGCGCGCGCGCGCGCGCGCGCGCGCGCACACACACACACACACACACACACAAAACAAATGCCCACTGTTGTATATTTCTCTGTAGATAATCAAATTGCAAGCTGTTTTAAAAATTACCAACAAAATAGATAATAAGTAAATCCTTGTGATGAATATTTCTCTATGTATAAGTAGTGTTTTCCTTAAGATTGGATGCCATGGAAATGAGTCACAATAAAACAATGAAAATACATACTGAAAATGCAGTGAGTACTCTATACTATGGTTTCCAGATCTCACACTTACATGCACACATGGTATGTTTTTGCTGATGTACTCTAGGTGTGGACAAACAGAATATTAAAGAGGAAAACTGTCTTTTTAAAATTGAAGGATTAGTTCTATTTCCAGGTATTGATCTGTGTTATTTATCAATTCACTGAGATTATATCTGGGCAGCAAGAAGGAGAAAGAAGTGAGAAAAGTGAAGAGAGAGGTGCCATGTTACCACCAGGCATCTTATCTCTCGGACTACATGTGAATTCCTGGGCAAAGAGTCAGGCCAGAACCTTCACGAAGAACTGGAAATCTCTGCTGGTAAAGAATTATAACTTGAGAAAAAGATGGCATGGCTCCCTCTCATTACAGACAGACCTGAAATGTAGTAATCTGGGGCTCAGGGAAGCTTCAAAGTCAGGGATGGGCAGGGTAGAAGAAAGACCTCAGGGCTAGGCAGAGATCTTCTGTTGACTCACCGCTGGCAGCATTGGAGACCTTGAGGCATGCCTCACAACTGACACACAAATATCCAGTTGGTTTGGAACAAGAGACACAATACTTTGTTCCTCAAGATTAAAGTGCTGAAAAACTTAAGCTAGTGTGATGGTTTGGGGGAGGTAGTGTATTTGGGAGGTAATAAGGACCCAAGGTCAGAGCCTTCACAGACAAGAATATTTAACTTTCTTACACTCAGTTCCATCTCATAGAAGGCAGAAATATCAGAAGACATGATTCCAAAACTTTGAGGGGAGCTCTATTCAGAGATCACATTGGCTCCTGAGCATTTCAGCAGAGCTGGAGAAATGAATTGCCACTCTTCATAAACCAGCCAGCCAATGACAATTTGTTATAACAGCATGAACTGAAATAGCTGTGTCAAAGCTCACTTACAGCTCCACTTCGACTAAGGGGCTTTTGGGGAAAGCCTAAGTAAGCCATGAGCTTCTTTATTCTAGAAGACCTAACGGATTTGTGAGATATTAGGCTAATATGACCCAATATATATTCATATACCCACAGTAGCTATGCTTGATTTGTGTATCTCATAACTGAAAGGGGAAAATAAACTACACAGGAAGAAATAAGATTTACAAAGGAAGCAGAGACTGAAATACTTAGCTGATACAGATAGGCAAGGAAGGAAATGATGTAAAAAAATGGTTATTTCTGAAAGGTATGACCATAATTTTTTCTTCATATATTTCTCACATTAAAGTCTCCCTCATAAAATGTTCTAACGATCACCTAACATGTCTTTTAGTTATGTAAATAGCAAATTAATACAAGTAAGAGAATATAAATAGTAGATATACTTCTGGGCAAAAATAATTTTTGAATGATTCAAAGCCTTAAAGGGGCCGTAAAGCTTACACATCGCCTTGTCCACGTTTGTTTTGTTTTTGTACTGGGGCTGAACTTGTGACTTCCCACTTGCTACGGAAAGCACTCTGCTCCCCAACTACATCACCTGTACTATCTGGCTTTTCTGGCTGAGCAAGTATGATTGGGTGTTAATTTGACAACACACCATAATGCCTCCTACCCTTGATGTTTCTTTCCTGGGACCCAGCAGAAGGAAACAGGTTCCCAGAAGCTGAAGCCCTTGGAGATGACTGGGAAGTGGGCACCGTGAGTTTACCTTCCGCCCTCTCCAGAGGTCTCCCACTTTTACTGGCTGCAGTGCTGTTGACCGTCTCGGAGGAGGTGCTAAGTTTGGTGCTGGGGTCTCGCTTGGGCTTGGGGGGTGGTTGTCTCCGGGATCCACAGCTGCTGTCATCCTCAGTGCCCCCGACGGAGTGCAGGGACTGAGACCTCACGGTGAATCCACTGGAGCAGGGATGCGGGAGTCTGTCCTGAGGGGCAGGCATCGTCATGAACCCCATGCGGAAGTGCTTGCCTGCGTAGCTGGTGTCCTGGCTTCGCCCTACTTCTCCCCCTATGCTGTAAGAGAAAGCAGAGACCACCTGTGAGGAGAAAAGCAGCCAGGATAGACTTGAAAGCATAGATACCACCAGCCTGTTCGTGAGAGGTGAAAATTCTCACTGGTGAAGACGTACACCATTTTACAAGGGGTTGACCCTTCAGACCAGTCTTCATTGGTATGAAAGCAGTCTATACTTTTAAGTCAAATTCTGAAAGTTAAAACCAAAACATGTTTATTAGAGTCAGAAAGTTTAACATGTCTACAGGTACCTTCACCTCCCAATGAACCTATTATCCTAAGGGAGAAAATCTTGCATAACAGACTTTATCTTCAACCACTCTTTTTTTTTTTTTTTTTTAAGGACTTAGAGGTGAACCTTGTCCCGTGACCTGAAAAGTAGTCAAACATTTGGTGACTATATTCCCTGGACCAGCTCCTGTTAGGTGACTGGATGCCATTCTTTTCTCAAAAACCATCCCTAATTGCCTGTTTCACACGTTGACAAAAATGTCATAAAGTAAGAACAGGAAAGGTTCTGTTAATAAGCACTCGAAAGAGAGAATGAAACTGGGAAAGGGAAAGGCTGGGGAGGACCATCAAGGCAGTAGGAAGGGAGAGAGAACAAGGGAGAGGGAAAAAGGAAGATAAAGTGGGAGAAGAGGAGGAATGAAACCTGGAGAGAGACGAGAAGAAGGGAGTGTGGGAGAGAAGAAGGGAAAGGAGGAAGGAAGAAAGGAGGAAAAGCTAAGAAGGCAGACAGGAAGATAACTCTATAGAGGAAGACAGAGGCAGACAAGCACGCTGGAAGAAGGGGAGAAGAAACACATTTCACGCTGATGACTGAATTGTCTGTCCTTTTGTTTTCTAGAACCATCCCCACCCCACGATGTTACAAATAAGCAGCAAGCCTCACTTCATGGAGTAGGAGCATTTAACACAGTATAAAAAGACCCGATCCTGATATGACTCTACTTCCTAAGTACTGAGGGTGTAAAATCTCTCCAAATTTAATATTTTTCAGGTTTCACATGGGAAAAATATGAAGATTTAGAAAGATGTAGTTTGAAGTTCAGTTAATCACAGAGGAAAGACTTCTTGGGATCTCTTTCCATACTGTACATAATGGTGACTCTTTATGAAGAAAACATCATGAATATGTATGTGAACTTTTAGAAGAGAGATTTTCCTAGAGCTTTCTCTGTCTATCAAGCTCATTCAACTAAAAGGAAAGCTAAAAGAAAAATCATGTATAAAATATTTGCATTTCACTGAAATGTGTGAATTGTGAAAAGAAACTCAGTGTATGAATTTTGTAAGCTTGTTTTGTCTGCCTTTCTAGTATGTAGATTTATTTAGAAATAGTAAACCTTGATTTTTATCTTAATTTCCTTAAATAATGCAATTCAAAGTAATATTTGGATTCTATTTATTGTATCTTTCATAGCATTATGATACTCATCATAATTTTAAATTTTCAGGCTGGAGAATGTGTCTCCATAGTAGAGCACTTCTTTTACTTAGATGAGGCCCTAGGTTCAATTTCAAACACCAATAAATAAGTAAAAAAATGAATAAATCAATGAATAACCGAGTAAATAAATTTTGAAAATCAAATTCAATTGGAACAATAAAGGAAAATGAAATGTTTTTCATCTTCAACTAGGGCGGTGATTCTTAACCTTACTAATGTTGTGACTCTTTAATACGGTTCTTCATGTTGTGGTGATCCCCACCATAAAATTGTTTCCATTGCAACTTCGTAACTGTAGTTTTGCTACTGTCATGAATCGTAACATAAATATCTGATATGCCATCCCAAGGGGTCGTGACTCACAGGTAGAGAACTGATGAACTTGAGACTTATGAGAATTACATGTATATTATGGTTTGGAAAGCCAAAAGAACTAATAAGATCCTTAGAGTTGGAGTCTGACATTTACTCACAACAATAATTTGCTATTCCAACATAAATCTTATTTCTGTCTTTTTTTTTTTGCTTAATATTTTGCGTTAATGTTTAGTAACACGGATGGCAATGATAAAGCAGGGCAATAGACACGCAAGACTCAGGTGGCCTCAGCAGGTCAACTGAGTGATTTTCATATAGGAACAGAAGAATCCTGTTAAGTGTTTCTGTGCATTTTAATTTCCGTGTTTTCTTGAAGACCATCAATCAAGACACAAATGAGAAGCGTTCTCAGATTGTTTTGTGAAAAAAAAAAAAAACATTAAGAATTTCTGGGAAAATGGGCTTAGTGGTGGGGAGAGGAGTCTTGAGCATCTGGGAGGATTTCACTCTGCGATGACATGTCTTTGATGTTCCCCACAGAAGATGAGATATTTGATTTCATCTAACTTTGCCTTGAATTATTTTCATCTGCATGTCTCTTCCTCATTTCCGTTGTATCACTGAACAGAAGCTGCTTTAAAGATTTATTTAGACAGCTGCCTCTTTGCCAGGAACATACTCACCTAGGGAGATCTATGCATGTGTTAATGCACACAGGCATTTATGAGACAGTTACTAGAAATAATTGTATCAGCAATTTATCTGTTACCTTTGACCTAAATAGAGCCTGCACCTTTTTCCCAGACAGATAATTAGCTCTGCTGCTCAGTGTCAGGATTCTCTATTTATCAGCACAAAACAATTTTGGTTAATGCTGCTTTGCACAGTAACGCTTCTTCCAAGTGAAATGCAATGTGAGCTTCAAACAATAGCAGGTATAAAGATGCAAGTTTAGTTCCACCTGGCAGTGAATACATAATGAAAACATGTGGCTAAGAGCGAGCTACATGTGCATAGGCCTTTGTTTAGGTCAAGGTTAAGGACAAGCAGTAAGGATAATGACACAGCTAATTGCAAGAGATTTAGAAGGGTGTTCAGTCCGAAGTACACTGAAGATCATGGAATGAGGCATATAACCAGTTTCCAAATCTGCTGAATATCTGTGGGTTTTTATTAAAAACATGCCAATTGCAAGATATCCCACCCTAAAGGTAACAGTAGAACCACATCTGCTGTGTCAGTGTCTGTCAATATGATCTGTGATTTTGTGCCTTTAGAACTCCATCCATTTATTTCTAATGTTGTCAACGCAGAACCCCAAAGAGGAGGTATCCATCACTGAGAATAGCTGTTACAGAAAGTCCAAAGAAATGAATGCAAATCAAAATGCCACAGACTTATCAGGCAGATCTGTTTAGGTCATCATGAGGTAGCAATGGTTCATTAGCTGTAGCTCTAGTTCACAGTCTGTCTTGATTCTATAATCAGCCCCTGTTGGGTCATGATGTTCTTCTGACAGAGAAAGAGTGGTCGTGACTAAAACCCAGTGACCCCTAAGACTGCTGTTCATATGCGGTGTGTAATATTTCGTTTACATTCTGCTAATTACGACAAGGGATCTATTCTGCCCCCAGAAGATGCTGCAAGTGATATTATAGTATGTGGGTATGCATGCACCTCTTATAAGTAGAAGATTAAATATTTCATGTGATAGCTACAGTAGTGTGTGGTTGGGATCTTACTTGATGAGAAAACTTACAATGATGGGTAAAGTCAGTTGAGGAAATAACCACTGCTCCACTAGAAGACTTTGTGTTTCCAGTTTGCTGTTGATTGGCTGTGCTCTTAAAAACAGATATATGTTAGAAATGCAATTCCCAATTCAACTGTGTTGGGAAGTAGAGCCCGGTAGTAGGTATTTCGTCAGAAAGGGTCTATTTGTATGAAAGGATTTATGCTGATTATAAATGGGCTGGAGTTTTGCATTTTAACATCTTATGTTCTTTTTTCCCATGATGCCTTAGACCAAGTTATAATGAAACCAGGAAGTCATCATCATATGCAGCCCTTTGATCTTGGACTTTCCAGCCTTTACAACAGTGAGGCAGTCAGTGTGAGGTCCAGCATTAGCGGGAGACTCTGTCTCAAAAAACAAACAAACAAAAAGAGTAAATGAAATAAAAAGAAAGAAAGGAAGGAAGGAATAATGAAAGAAAGATGCAGATTGATAGAAAAGGACACTAGATACTGACATCTGGCCTTCACAAATGCAAGCTCAGATGAATGAGTCCACATACATATATACCACACAAATAAATAAAAGAAGCATCCTCATAGTGGACAAAACCACTGACCTTGACCATTGGGTACAGAGAGGAGGATGGCTTTTTCAACCAAGCAAAGAAAAAAAAACATTTGGAACACAGATGACAAATAGTACTGGGTATTTCTTGGAGTTTGGGTTGCGAGCCTTTTCCTTTAATCGCTGAGCCGTCTCTCCAGTGCTTTGGGGTAATTTGTGATACTCCCTTGCTCACTTGTGACTTTGAGATGTCACATACAGAAAACTTGGTTCATGGAGGTTGCAGTCACAAAGAGTTCCAACTTCTCATGAAAGAGGCTGATCTGGTGACCACAAAAGCCAGCAAATGTATTCACAAGGGTCCAGTTTATTAATGACTATGCACAAGGGGTTTGCAGATTTTAAGTTTCAGCCTCCATACTAGCTGCAGTGATTGTGGCCATACTTTATTGCACTGAGTGCATCCTTCTTGATTTCCTCTCAGGAGGAGTCAGATGGAAATCAGTAAAGTACTGAGGGGTCATTTTAGCTTCATCTTGGGGACAACATGTGGCAGCTTCGCAGGTGTACAGCTCAGATATGCTTCAAGAGAAAATCTTAGAGGCGAGCAGCTAACTTCTAGCATCCAGCTATAATCTTCAAACCATACTGACATGCGAGGTGTGAGAACTTGCCTCTGCCCCATATGGGGAAATCTTCATCTCTGGGTTCCCATAGCTACAACATAGTCTCAGGCTCTTGCTGTCCAGTTGTCTCCCCTTCACATTCTCCTTTTGTAGATAACAGAACAGCACCAAGGCTGAGCTTGCCTCTTCACCCCTGTATCTCCTTCTTCATCTCTCTCAGGCTGGCTCCTCAGTAAAACTCAGTGTCTGCTTCCTTGGGGACCATGACCTGATATATGACATAGTGAAGCCAAACCTTCT